ATAAACCTATTACTTGTTCCTTATTATTATTATTATTATTATTATTATTATTATTATTATTATCATTTCCAAGCGACAGCTCCGACGAATACTGTACTAATCTGTAGTATTACTTTTTTTTTCCATTTACACCTTGTTCTTCTATTTCATTACTAAGAGATAAAGGTCCCGTGTCATTTCGTAGCAAGTTTATAGTATACGTATCATGGATTTAACAAAAAAACACGTTATGTGTATGCATGATTAGTCCTGAATTAACTGTCAAGTGGAAAAGTCAGATTATTGTTTAAGAAACAACAGATCAAATTGTGTTCCTGTAGAATTATGCATTTGATAGCGCTCATACAGTAACTCAAAATATTTTTTTATGTTGCAGGTTAAGTATGTGGTTTATCAAATTACGTAATTTGTAACGTGCCTGTAATTAAGAGTGGTCCATTGTTTTTACTTGTGCAGTATCCGTTACATACAGTATTTTGTTCTTTTCATGTCAGACTAAGGATCAACTACGTACAATATGTCATTAAGGAACTGCAGGTTTTTACAATGTTACTGAATTACACACGGGCAGTTGTGTGGCATCCTTAGCAGTGCTCTATACAGCAAATACTAGAAATTACCTAACAAGACTTGTAGCTGGTGGATCAACCGGGGCTTGTTTTGGTGCATCTCAATTTTTGTTTTAGTTTGCTGCCTGTAAAGGATGTTTGTCTCCCTGAAGCACAGTGAGTCGATGCTGCAGTTGATTTGAGGGAAAAAAGGGTAAAATTAAGTGTTGGGTGAAGTGAGAAAAAGCAACCCAATTAGCAAGACAAAATAACCTAACTCCATGAAATATGCAGAAGTCACACAGTAATTTTGCATTACAGACACCTGGGGCACTTTAGTCTGTGAAGATGCATATTGCTAAAACTGTCTAGGGTAAGAAACAAATTCAGAACACCGATTTAATGCATTTTATTAAAGCACAGCAGTTTAAATATTTCCAAACGCCTTGCCTCTTGCGCAGCTGAGTTTGTCACACCCCCAGCATGCAGAAGAACAGCTCCCAGTTGTCGCTTCTGTGCCAGAGAATACTTTGTTTTCTTTTAAGATACATTACATTATGAATGCCGATAAACTGATATAAAGGTTTTTCAGTTCACTGTTCTTTTTTTTTTGTGGTGTCGCATAATTTATATTCCAGTAGAAGATAAAACAGTAACATAAATGATTCATCCCAAAACAACTTCAGCCTTAGTTCAGGTTTATTACCTTCTGCTTTCCTCGGTTGCTATGTCTTAACATTCTTTTTTGTGACTGTGCTGTCTTGACTTTAATTCATTTTGTTTCATATTGTGGGAGGCATGGTGGCGCAGGGGTTAGCTTTGCTGCCCTACAGCGCTGGGGCCCTGGGTTCAGTCCTGGACCTAGGGTGTGGTCTGTGCAGAGTTTATAAGTCCACCTTGTGTTCATGTGGGTTTCCTTTGGGGGTTCTGGTTTCCTCCCATTTTCCAAAAACATACTGGTAGGTTGATTGGCTTGGGGGGAATAGGCCCTGGTGTGCACGTGTAGGTTTTTGTGTTCGCGTCTGTCTATCCTGTGCAACGGACTGGCTTCCCATCCAGGGTGTATCCTGCCTTGTGCCTGTTGCTTGCCGAGATAGGCTTAGACTCCTCTGCCACCCAGAACGGGAGAAAGTGGTTAGAAAATGGATGGATGTTTCATGTTGTGCAAGATCCAATTTCCTTTTTTTGAACAGTTGATAGAACGTGACTGATGAGCTGTTAGCTTTTTCTCTTGAAACCACAAAGAAAACTCTTACCCACACAAGGGGAAAGATGGAACTGCACCCTGGACAGGATACCGGTCAAACTAACCTCGCAGTGCACACACATACTCAAACGTTGATTGGTGCTGGTGTGTGTGTGTGTGTGTGTGTGTGTGTGTGTGTGTGTACTCCTTCATTCTGATTTCATTCTGGTGGTGCTATGATTGTTAGAGATGAGCAAGTCAGTGCTGGCCCAGTCCTTGACCTTCTCTCCACTGTGTTTCACAATGATGAGGTGGTGTTCTTTGAAGCATCTGCGGTTCGTTTCTTTTGCCACACTTTAACCTTGGCTGCTTGCTTCAAAACGCCCGTGACTGCTTTGTACTACTCAGCAGATCCTGAAGCATGGTGAAGGTATTGTTGTGGGCCTGGGCACGGCCATTGAAGACGAGTCTTGCTCAACAATGGCTTTTTTTTTTTCTTCAGGCAAATTTGTGTGGGGACCGAAATGTTGTATGAACAGCGAGTAACTCCTGTTTCAGATATCGACCTTCGCCTATCTTTCAGGGCCACTATTGGCTTCACAGTGGCATCCCACTGCTGGCAGCCAGTAGTTTGATTACCCTGCTGTATTAAAGACTGTGTGGAAGGCTGGCCTGATGTAGGTAGTGTCTGGGTTCTATGATGCTCCTTTCTGCGTATTGATGATTAATTCTTTTGTCTCTCACCACTTCATCCCTGACGTGTTTCGAAAGCGCCTTGGTCTTCATGATTGATTCGTTGTATCATTATGTGAATTATTGCTTGACATTTCACTACCGAATGAAACCTAAAGGGGAAAATGCATCGACTCTGAGGTCATGTTAAAACCACTTTAATTACACACAGATGGAGACTGTTACGCTAATTGTGTGCCCACTAAAACCATTCTTTTTCACCATAACTGATTTATTCTCTGTATAGGAAAACATCAGGCACTATTTTACCTTGAATCCCAGTACATATCTTTTAGGCTTAACCATGCTTTTTAGTTTACTGTGGTGTAATGTGAGCGGTTGTCTATCAAAGGTTTTCACTGTTGAAGTAAACTGAGCGGCTTGCAAGGCAACTTTCAAACTGTAGTGCTTTAGTTTTTCTAGCGGCAGCTTACCACAACAATGTTTAAATTATTCAACACACGAAGGCTCCACAGCCGAAATGTTGTTTCTTTTTTTCCTGTTTTCAGCATGAAATAAACCTTTACCAATTGATATATAATACTATGAATTTAGTTTTCACAATTGGGCTGACATGGTGGTGCAGTGCTTAGCATTGCTGCCTCACACACAGGGCTGGAGCCCTGGGTTTCATTCCTGCAGTGCTATCTGTGTGGAGTTTGCATAAAGTGGTTACAAAATCTATGGATAATTTTAATAACTAGTGTTTTATATTGCTTTATTTGTTCTTTTATCTCTTGATATTTTTCACCCCAAGGTGAGGAGTAAGACCCTTTAAAATTTCTTTACCTTGTCTAATAGAGCTTAGCTTGGTTTTGCTTAGGTTGTTGTCTTAAAAGGGTGAGAGAATTTGCCATCTGATGTCTTCATGGAATAAAAGTCTTTGAATTCAGTAAAGTGTTTAATATTGGAAACCAGTTCTATTTCGATACCACTTCCAGAAATTCAAGTCCAAAATAATTTTTCAGTACTTCACAGTGTGTAGTTTAACTTAGGCTGGGCAGAAAGATGTTAGAAAGCTATGAGCCAATGAAACACCTTACATTTCTATTACTCATATGGTGTAGAAATTGTATTAATGCATTTTACATGCTTGCAGTTGTGTTAAGAAGAAATCAAATAGTGGTTTCTGATTTTTCTCATTCTAAATAAATAAAAACACGAATACATTAAAAGCATTCATGTTTCTTAAACTTTCATCTCATAGTAATAGATGGTAGATGTAGAAGAGGATGAAAACAGCATTTCGTTCAGTCATGAGTGTGGTGAGTATCTTGGTGTTAAGAAGTCAGGGACTTTTCAACCAGTAGTTGAACTACTGTAAAAAAACACGGTTATCATTTCAAAAACTGTTTTGTGAAGTGATGCTAATGTTGTTGTTGGATACAGTGGGTGGGTTCACTCTATTATTCTTAAAAAAACTGCTACATTTTAAAAAGCTTAGTGAAGGAGAAAATGACATTTCCAATCCCTCAACAAAAAAACTAATCTTTTTCTGTTTTCCTGTTCAACCCTAATCCCAGGCATTGGCTATCCTTGTGGGGCAGACTAGGACTTTGTTACAGAATACTTTTGTTTGTGTTTGACAACATACCGGCAGTAGTCATGTAATACGTTACTGGCCATACAAGTCAGACTACCCACAAGATGCCCACTGTATTTCTTTGGAAAGATTTTCGAAAGGCCATGCAATGATTTACTCCCTAAACTGTCACTATGGATATTTGAATTAGAGTATTGTGGTTTGTCTCAAAACCTTTTCACCTAGTGCGTAGGATGTATTTTTTACGTTCTGATTTGTTGCAATTTGTAGTATGTTTG